TATCATCTGTTTTATCATCGGTATTCGTCCTCGTGGTTGTCCCCTGGGGCGATCTTGAAAGGAGCGAACTCTTCTCAAACGGATTTTTATCCGTCATATTTTTCACTCTTGCTGGACTCGATTTCAGGAAGTCAAGTTTTCCTCTGATGTAGCATTTTTGACAGCCGATGAACTGATCGTCTCTCCAAAAACAATACACTCCATGTTTACACTTGTGTGGCAACAGCGACATAGAAGTTTCGGCCGTAACCGCACTTTGTTTACGTTATCTCGCGGTCGCTGCGCGCCGCGATGCCCGGGCCGCGAGCCGAACCAAAAGCTTTACCGTCTCACGAGCGCTCTACAAAACACGTCTGCACAGTTCGAAAGATCAACACCGAATCAAAATTTCATGTAGAGAACATTTCTGGTGGCAGCAATAACTAAAATTAACTCCTCGCGCAGATATCAACTTTTTAATCTGACACTAGTCACGAAAAATTTGAAGTTCCCTCATAGACACACACACATACACACCCTCACACACACATACATACACCCTTACATACATACACACATACATACATACATACATACATACATACATACATACAAACAAACACCCTCACACACCAACTCCCTCACCCTCACACACTTGCACACACCAAAAAAAATTCAGAGTTTACATGGGTTAAATTGCATACTTTTCAAGTTTTGGCAGGTTCCTTCATTGAGAGGTGTTCTCTCTCTGACCAGTGTTGTTCAATGTGTTGACAACAAGCAAGAGCTGAGTCGAGGCTCTGAGACTGAGGTGACCATGATTTCACACTGCAGAGACTGTTATGGTGAGGTTTAGGGTGCAAATTTACCCGAATAAATACAATAGGGTCTCAAATATCTGGACCAAGTGGGAACTGACCCAATCCAGAAAACCAAAATCCGTAAAATTAAAAAATTGAAGATCAACATTCAAGACCACTGGAAGTTGCGATTCCAGAAAGAGCCATGACCTTCATGTCTCTACTTTCAAGCTCAGGTGACGTCACAGGGTCAACAGGGAAGATTGTCAATCTATAGTCTTGCTTTCTGTGGCAAATTTTTTGCTTTCAAGGACTTTTCAGGTCACGGCACTCAAGATTTCTGCTGCATGTAGCTGCCAAATTGGTCCGGATAATTGAAGATTACAAAACAGCGGTTCAGATAATCAAGACCCTACTGTAATGGTTTATTTATGAGCAGGAGGTTTGAATTTATAAAAACATTTATATCTTTGGTAGAGGTTACTTTCGGTAATTTTCTTTTCATTAATCGTGTTCTGCGTGAGATTCTGATGAAGCTATATGAGTCATGATGCTCAAATGCATACCTTGTCTAGTAGTCTATTGCTGATTGACTGATAATCTTGGCTTAAAAAATGATTTGGGGGCTCTAATTTTCGTTCCCTATCTTAATGTCAGATCCGAATCTGCAGTAAGGTCAGATAAAACTTAGAATAATGTGAATACTTTAAATACCTATTGAATGCATGAGGCCACTGTCTATGTTTGCAGATAGAAGGTTAGACATTGCTTGAATCGTTGCATTTCTAAGTACTGAGATTTTGTTAGCACCAATGCGGGGTCTAGACATATCTTTCTCCAGATCTTGCGTATCTGCACAGTCTCCTAATAAGTTCATGAAAAGGGTGAAGTACCTAGAGGACAAAAAATGTACCTTGAAAATATCGATTTGATTCTAAAGAGGTAATTATTATCAAAAAAAAAAACCTTCACATAAGGAAGTAACGTTTTTGGAAATGCTGCTTGAAATTTCTGATAGTCATGCTGACAAAATTGAAAGAAAAACAGAAAAGTAATTTTCTAAAAATTAAAGCCTAAGGTTACTTATTCTAGTATCAGCGTTGATGTGAAAAAAAAACCAGCCAGAACACAGAAGATAATTTTTATTTTTTCTGACATTCAAGGTACAAACATGGGATATTTGATCAAACTAATCACCGGATAATCTTGTTGAAAAATTCTCAAACCAGTTTGAATTTTTGAGGGTAATCAAAAAAATTAAAATTTTTCAAAAGAAAAAGGTATTCTTACTTCAAAAACATTTGACTTTTTGCCTCCATCAGGTCACCTCTATCAGACTCTTCAGGTTGCAGAGGTAATCCTTTCAACAGAGCTGCAACAGCTTCCATACAAGCTTGATCCAAGTCACGGAATGCAGCGATACTAGTGGCAACAGGAAGAAATGAACATGAGTAAGGAATGACTTAATTTGAAAATCATATTCTACATGTAATGCATACATATCGTGATTTGGCCCCTCTTTTGGCAAAAATACCTCTTTTCCTAAGAATTTGTGGGGAAAAATATTAGTACCATGCACTTAAAAAAATTCGTTAGGGTCTGCATTCTGAAGAGTTTGGAGGGACGGTATCATGATCAAAAAAACAGGGGAATTGGCTAAAAAACGTGATTTCCCGCGTCACCGCTGCACCACGACTGAAGAGCTCGGGCGCATCTATCTACAATTATTTATTTTCAAAAATATTTTTTCCCCTGCACTCCACCAAGTACCTCTACACTTTTTGGGGAGTCAGACGATATCAAATCGAAAAAGTGGAAAAATAGACCACTCTAATGTGAATTCTCTCAATTGACAATGAAAAGAGGGTTATTCAAAACCGGCGATTTCGCCCCCCACCTGGATTTAGCTCGGAGTTGGATATGCTGTTCCCAATCACAAGACACGCCTTTTTCCGGCATTGGCAAGTTCACCCGAAATTTTCCCCGAGTTCTAACTGTGAAAATAACCAATTTCGTCGTCTAATCAACTCCTGGCAAGTCACTGGCCATAATCCCCAAAAAAGGTTGACTTTAAGCCATTTTTGCCAAATTTGGCAACTTTCCGGCAACAATTTTTTTAGGAAATGTTCAAATTCGGATTCAGCGCCAAAAATCACATGGGAAACCATGAAATTAAATGCTACCCGGTGTTTTTGGAGGCTCCATTGTCTATCTGCCTGGACTCAACAAGCGTCGTTCTTCCATAAAACTGTTAACAAAAATAATTATGATATCTCGCGAACCAAAAATTTCCCTGCGAGCTATAATATATCGATGGATGCGAAATCGAACGAACTATCGATTGGACAACTTTTTATTCAAATCAAAAGATAGCTTTCTGGGGTATTGGCGGATTTATAAAATTTTTCGAATTTAAAAATCGAAAAATTGGCAACAATGCATGTTAAAATTAATGCGACATTAAGAACATGGACATTTCCTAAAAGTGCGCAATTTTTACAGAATTTTCGTTAAAACTACAACTTCATAGCTCAATTTTAACGCCACCTACGGAATTTGCCTGTTTTCAACTTGGCAACGCTGTAGCGCGCGAGAAAAATTTCGGGTGAACTTGCCAATGCCGGAAAAAGGCGTGTCTTGTGATAGGGAACAGCATATCCAACTCCGAGCGAAATCCAAAAGGGGGGCAAAATCGCCGATTTTGAATTACCCTCTTTCTACTAAATCGTCACCTTCCAGGCAAAGTATCACAAGCGGCATGCAACGTTTAAAAATTTCCGCCGTCATTTTATTTTTTTTACAGAAAAATGGTTCAATAAATCTGTCCGAAAATTTTACTGAATTTTCTTTTTGCTGCCAATAAAATTCAGTGAAATTTTCAAACAGATTCAACCAATAATTTCTCTGTAAAAAATGAAATAGCGGCGGAAATTTTTAAACGTTGCATGGCGCTTGTGATACTTTGCCTGGAAGGTGACGAAATGCCGATGAGCGCGGTACGATACGGAGTGCAGGTGGTAGGGCGGGGACTCTGTCCAGCAGCCGGCGAAGGACGGGCGTCGCGAGTCGCGTCGCCGGAAGGGGGAGGAAGGGCAATTTTCGGCACGAATTTTGGGCGCGCTTATAGCTGTAATATGATGATTCTCTGTCGCCACAGTTCGTCCTAAAGATCTATCGGGCCGATTTCGGGCGATTACAAATATTCTCGGCGCTACAAATATTCTCAAAGGATCAAACAGTATTCAACCAACTTCAGAAAAATGTTAAAAAGAATCACTTTCGACCACAGACACATGGCATCAGTGGAACTTATGAGCTAATATGAAAATGCTGATACAACGTTAAGCAGTCTACTTTAATTTTCAGCTACCTAGAGTTAGTCAGTCATGTAAGACTTCTATCCCAATGACGATGTATTGATGGTGGGCCTGTTGCAAACTTTTGCTAGAGCAAAAATAAGAGTTGTTTCTTATAGATAATGCCTCAAAAATCACGATGAGCGCATCGGCAAAGTCTGAAATGCACTCACAACTTCACAGTCTGCGTAAGAAATTTGCGGTTTTTTGAGCTTCCCGCTTCAAAAGCGATACTACGGCACAGGTGAACATTTTGTAAGAGGAGTTGTTCCATCGTCGGCAATTCTCATCATGGCCGACGCCAATCCGCCAAAACACGTGTGATGGGACGAGATAATACCTGAACTGGATTAGACCAGATAACAATCGGCGTGTTTTAACGTTCATGTTTTCCACGCCCGAATTGATTGACCTTGAACTCTCCTCGAATTACGCGCGGAACTGCGCGCAAGTGTCGGCCATGATGAATATCGCCGACGATGGAGCGACTCCTCTAACAAAATGTTCACCTGTGCCGTAGTATCGTTTTTGAAGCGGGAAGCTTAAAAAAACGCAAATTTCTTACGCAGATTGTGAAGTTATGAGTGCATTTCAGACTTTGCCGATGCGCTCATCGTGATTTATGAGGCATTATCTATAAGAAACAACTCATATTTTTGTTCTAGCAAAAGTTTGCAACAGGCCCATTCTCAAATTCTGACAGATTGTGGGCCTAGACAAACGCCCGATCAGTGAACAATTACCTTTTTTTCTGTAGTTAGCATTCTCGGATATGCAACCATATTTTTTTTGCAAAAAAATTCAAAATGGTTTCATTCCACTGGTTTAAGGACGAAGAGGTCACCGTGGGCAATGAAATGAGTGCACTTGATATCACATGCTTCGCATTGATTTCTGTACCGATACTTGTGCTCATTTTGTATTTCGTGTATTACAAGTGCAAAAAGTTACAAAAGCTGATGTCGCTCTGAGGGATGAAATTCAGGAGTAACGCGAAATCATATGGAACCAGTAAAAACTTCACTGAATTTTCAGGCGTGTACTTTGCCAACTGAGAGCTTCTTGCTAACAAAATTGGGCTTGTGGGTGCGTTTGGCCAACTACAAACCTCCAATTCCTTTTACGGCTGACTGACTTTTTTTGAGTGTCTTCCTTTACTCTAACCACGAGATCAGAGCCTTGCGCTAACTTAATAAATATACCGTACTTTCATACTGTGAACTGAGGGCTGTCAACGAAGTAAAGTTCCACAAAATGGATGAAAAGGACTACATTGCGCTCTCAGGGGTTGAAAATCTTAAAGTACTGTCATGCAAAACAGAGAGTGAGATGTGGACCAATTTAGAGGAAATATTCAGCCAATCAGGGTTAAATAAGGTATGCGAAATGTTAAGAGATGTCTTTTGCATTAAGTGGACAAAGGTAAATAAATAAAGGAGCACATTTGCCTTTTTGGCCCCCCCCCCCCTAAAGGGCCTTTTTTGGCCCCACCTAGAATCTGGAAATTTATGCGGATTTTCCAAGTTGACTCAATGTAGGTTACAGAAATCATGATTTGGTCCATAGGCTACTGGATAAGTGTTAAACGGTTGCCTGAACATACGTCTTTTTTTAACTTAAGTTTTTTTTAACTATGAGCGTATCATCTAACTAAAACCAAACCAGGGTTGAAATGTGTCCTAAAGCCTCCTTGATAACATATCAAAAGCTCGTTTTAGTTAGATGATGCGCTTGGTGTCAAAGAAGTCTTAAGGTGATAGGAAAACACGCATTTTCTCTAAAATACGTATCTCTGCAGACGTATGTTCAGGCAACCGTTTAACACATATCCAGTGGCCTATGGATCAAATCACTGTAACCTACATTGAGTCAACTTGGAAAATCCGCATAAACGTCCCGATTCTAGGTGGGGCCAAAAAAGGCCCTTATCGATACTCCTCCTTTGGAAAAAGAGCTTGATCCAAAAACGGCTTTTTTCGCCCCTCCCCCTTGGAAGCTCTTCAAACTTTGTCTATTGATTACTCATACTTGAGCGCTTCTTTCCCCGAATTTTCAGACCCCCAAAAAATTTTGGGGGGGGGGGGGGCTGGAAGTCAAAACCTGCAAACCTCGATATCTCATGATATCTTCACGAAGAAAGACATCGAGGTCCGGTTTGGACGAAAGTTCGTCTAACACTGCCTTCATTGAGATTCTGTAGGTCAAAATCCCAAATAGTCCACTCAATTTAGCTCTAAATAAGGGTCATCTGGGAAAATCCATATATAGAAGGTTTTTTTGCGGAAACATGTTGCATTAGGCTACCAGAACAACATATCAAAAGTTTACCAAAATCGGCCGTCCGCTAAGGCCGCCATCTTGATAAAAGGGGGGCAGGGGGCCAAAATACGCCGCCGGCGACCGGTTTTTGCTTATATCTTGAAAAATATCGATCCCACGGAAAAATGTCACTGAACCTTTTAAAAAGATCATAAAATTTCCTATTAGGAACACTATACATTTATCAAATTGCGACTTCTGGTTCGTGAGATATGGCGGTAGTTCCCTGCGGCTAGGAAAGTCAAATCTTGCGAGAAATCGCGTTTTTTCATCAAAATCTGTTATTATCTTAAAAACGGCGAGTCTGAGGCAAAAAAGTGTTCTCGCCGGAATGAAAGAGCATAAAATTTCCATGCTAAAAATGATTATGAATTCACTAGGGGGTCCGCCCCCGGAGCGCTATGCGGTCCGAACCAACGGCGGCTACTATGCGGTGAGGCTCGGCTTGGCCGCGCCATGAATTGTTGCGGTCCAAGATGAAACGGCTTCACTTTTTTGGTAGATTTACCGCGAGGGTAAGTCACATTATCCATTTAAATATGTGCTACTTTCCTTTCATCATGAACCCCCCCCCCTCCGCTTTAGGTCATGCATGTTGTATAGTCAACGGTCGCGCTTGAAGATAATGTTATTATTTTATGCTTTCTTATTCAAATACAATTTGTCAAATAACAAATCTTCTTTTTTCAAAGTAACTAAAAGGTAATGAATTAATACAAAATATAGAAATAGGAATAAGACAAGCATTTCTTCGTTTATTACCTTAAGCGGTGGAATCGTTTATTAATACCTATATGTTGAAAAGCATGATGGTCTTGAAGGTTCAATTGTTTTTGATGGATACGAACAAAAAGCGCAACAGATTCTACAAAAAGCGTTGAAAGGTGACGACGTTATAGCTTTAAAAAATGTCCTGCCTTAATTTTTTCTGAGGACACTCCTCTATCCGTGGCCCGTAGGACTTGCTTCTATCTATAATGAAAAGAATGAGGCGCGTTTGATTTGCTTGCTATCGAAACACTTTACTATAGGGAGTCAAGTTAAAGTATCTCAAGCAGAGGACGATGCGGATACTCTCATTGTAAATGAAGCTATCAGTCTGCCGAGAGGAACGAAGAAACAAGTTGTTATCGTTGGTAGAGTACCTATATTGAGAGAGTATGGTCACTGGACCCCATGGAAAGACTTAGGACCCAAAAATGACGGTGCTTTGTTTTGGTTTTTGTGGATGGGAGGGGGGTCATTGCCAACTTTTGACGGTTTTCACCAACCGCACTTGCTGCCAACCTTACTACATCTAAGATAATTTTTCTCAAAAATTGCACACGATTAGCCTTAAAAATATGTAAAGAATCGCAATAGTGCATTTGGGTTAATTTCTCGTTACAATAAGCAAAGAACACTACATTTTGAGTCATTTTGCATCACATTAATTTATGGCGTCCGCCATTTTTGGGTCCTAAGGGCTCTATTCAGCCTAAGATGGCTGAGCCAATCAGAGGTGGTAACACCAGTGGTCATACTCTCTCAATGTGGGTACTCTAATCGTTGGTGAAGACATCGACCTCCTTGCTCTAATGATAACTTGGACGTCTGCATCAAGCGACGTCCTATTACTCAAACCAGGTAAGGGCAAATATGCAGCCCAAATTTTTAGCTCAAATCAATTGCGAACATCGAATGTAAATTTGAAGAACAGCATTGTGTTTATCCATGCCGTCAGTGGATGTGATACCACTTCAGCATTTCGTGGCAAGGGCAAAGGCAAATTTATTAAACTGTTAGAAAAATGTGGCGAAGTCTCTTGTATTGCTGAGAAATTTTATGAAACCGACTGCACTCAAGATGAGCTTTTTCAAGCGGGTGAGCAACTTGTTCTTTTGCTGTATGGTGCTGAAAAATCAGTTACTGCTTTGAACAAATGCAGATTTCAATGTTTTAGTCGTGCTTTGGCAAGGCAAAAAACTGAGGTGAAACTGCAAACGTTGCCTCCAACTTCAAATGCGTGCAAACAACACTTCTTACGTGTATATTATCAAGTTCAACTCTGGAGAGGAAGAAAACGGAATCCCAAGGAATGGGGGCGAAAATTTTTGGAACTCAGGCTTCTCCATGTGCCTATGCTCAATCCGCCTGCCCCCCCCCCCCCCGAACTTTTACAAATCATCTCATGTACATGTTCGAAAGGCTGTAGTAACTGCTGCTCTTGTAAGAGAGCTGGTCTACCATGCAGTGACATTTGTCAACATTGTTCCGGCTTGGGATGCAGCAATCAAACAGAAACACTGATCGAAGAGGAAGCAGAGGATGAATTTAAACTCCCTCTTTCTATATTTTGTATTAATTCATTACCTTTTAGTTACTTTGAAAAAAGAAGATTTGTTGTTTGACAAATTGTATTTGAATAAGAAAGCATAAAATAATAACATTATCTTCAAGCGCGACCGTTGACATGTATTAACTATACAACATGCATGACCTAGAGGGGGAGAGGGGGGGTTTCATATTAAAAGGAAATTAGCACATATTTAAATGGATAATGTGACTTACCCTCGCGGTAAATCTACCAAAAAAGTGAAGCCGTTTCATCTTGGACCGCAACAATTCATGGCGCGGCCAAGCCGAGCCTCACCGCATAGTAGCCGCCGTTGGTTCGGACCGCATAGCGCTCCGGGGGCGGACCCCCTAGTGAATTCAT